TTTTCGGGATCTTTACCGACTCTTATTAGTCTGGTTGTTCCATTCGCACTACCGTCTTCAATAAGGTGTACCACTGTTGATGTGACGTCATTTAACCTACAAAATACACCAACAGATAAGTTTCTCTTTATAATAATATGATAATCTGTTTAGAATATAAACATGAATAAAATAATTCATCGTGTTGTGGTTATAATAAGACCAGTCAACATGGTATCATATGAGAGCAATGTCTTTGCACTCCTGGTACAAAGTAAATGCACTATGGTATTACTGATTCTTAATTAGTGATTATTTTCCTCCTCAGCCAAACAAAAACAAGCAGTTCAGTGTTTTTGTATCGTTTGAGCCTTCTGTTTGGTCGTCGAAGATGAACTGTATTACAAAGCATTTGAAGCATTATCTGTTGGGAGACGCACCAGACACTTGTTTCCTTTTCATGTATGGGACGAACATAAAACACTCGTTAAATATAATCTGATAAAGTAATACAAAACACAATATACAAAAATACACACGACAACAATGGTATGTATACATTGTAAGATTTGTCGAAATCAGGGAACTATTAATTTAATTTCTGTTCAAAACCATTTTTAGACATGTTTTGACCATACTCATTTGAACTAAAAAGTATAAAGATTTACATATGCATTTATTTGCCATCAAAACAAATATAGCTGACTGGCGGACATTTTAGTCGATATATTGCCCATGAAGTAAGGTAAATGACGTGTTAAACAGCGGCTCTTGGTGTGTGAACGAAAATATGGCAACCAGATTTACTTCTTGGTAATATAACAAGTTGGAGTGGAAACGATAACGAATATTTATAGAATACAGTTTTGATGTTAGTTCAGTAGCTGGGCATTATTTAATTAGGCACAGTTCTCGTCTAAACACATATGAGAGTTATTAATCAAAACTGCCAGGCAGACAATGATAATGTGACATATTAGCACACGGCATTGCCATATACAGTAACATTTGTGTATTTAGTTAAGAACGACTACACCATTTCATTTTCCCCTAATGAGCTGGTGCAATCACGGGATTTGCAAAGCCATGTTTTAATAAAATAACCATACAAACGAAGCTGTAACGAAAATGTGCATATCCAAAAGTGAATCACTGGTAGAAAGAAATTGTCACCAGTCAGCTATTTTGAATTTGATATAAATACGACACAAAGCGACTTGCATACAAGCCACATAATGCTCAAGCGAAATATTTTATTCAGAGTTTTAATACAATGCATGTATATTCCAGTTCTGGAATGACAGAAATGCGTTTCGTTGAATTTATTATCACTAAAATGGCTGCATTCGATAATCTTGAATTGGAATTTAACAATTGGGTATATACTACCTATGGTCAAACCCTTTTTTTTAAAGTAATTCGATCAGTCACATGGTTTGGTCGTCATCTTGGATTCCTGGCAAACATTTTAGTTTTAGTTTTCCATCAATTCTTTAACCAATCGGTTCGAAAATATGTGGTGACTATTCATGGCAAAAGCTTTTTACGAGGAAAATTATATAATTTTGATTAGTCTGTGGTCTGGCCGTAATCTCAAATTTTGCGTGAAACATGTTACTCGTTATTGTATCCTAATAGTCAGATTGTTGATTGGACAACTGGTTCGGTAGGCAAATTGGATTGAAGTTAATTTAGTTGCCATTTCGAAACCATTCCTGAAGGTCCCGGATTTTTTTAAAAAATCGCCATAGCGCCAAGTTGGATTACAAATTTACAAAAATTTGATTTTCCATCTCGGAACATTGAATCATGCACACACATGATTCAAATTCACGACCATGGCGGAGCGTCTTGCTACTGTAGCACTCGCATATCAGTATACCACAATCATAGACCCAAAAATATTGGCTGCAAACAACGTCTTAATTAACGGGCCCTTACATGGACTTGATGAAGATGCACAAGTTATAGACAACGACATACAGGTAAAGCCAGATATGAAATACAAGCTACTTGTCCCATCTGCTGTCTGTCTTATATAAAATTATTACTTATTAGGTTTAAATTGTTGGGTAAAAGAATGCTCATTTTATTAAAAGCATATACATACTACTTACTTTAGCAGTGGCCTGCCTGCTGTAAATTGTTTTATTTCCTTTGTGTACTTCACCCCTATCTCCGAGGCAATAGGAACCAGTGTTGTGTCAACAGCATCCGGACATATAGCAACAACACGAACACCATTGCTTACCACGTCTGGCTCAAACTGCAAATTGTAAATATGCGTTATTCTGTCATTGTAGGAAATGACGACATACTACAACACTATTGTTTCTGTGTATTATAAGAGTTAACAATCGTGTCTATTCCAACGAAATCAACATGACCACCACGAAATTGCCCGATTTTAATACATATACAAAATAGAACAAATGGACAAACTTACACAACTAATTTTCAGAATAAAAAGGAACAGAAAATATATTAGTGGCCTTGTTCTTCCGAGTTACTAATTTTCATGTCAAACTCACCGCCACACTTCGTGTGAATCCAACAACTCCATGCTTGCTTGCAGCATATACGGTGGATAACTTCTGTGGACACAAACCTGAAAAGAACAATACAATTCGAACAAATATATGTTAACTTAAATCAGAGTATATAAGATGCATAACAGTATTGTATTACAGTTTACATATGAGTACGAACATGTTACATTTTACCATATATTGACGCAGTATTGACTACAACGCCTCCTTTTCCTCCATTCTGTGTTCCCATGTATTTCACGGCAAGGTATGTCCCTTCTATGACAGCAGCCTGAAATAATACATTGTTTTTTAACTGAATGGTTCTACGCATACTTCGTCACAGTGTGACATGTATAACGCGCTGAGTTAGATATACGCCCTGTATTACATATACAACGCGTGTGAAAAGAATTATTGACAAAACATTCGACCGTGAAAAGAATATACTACAATCGACTGACTAATAAAACACAGCACTACAGTCAAATCATTAAGAGGAAGCTGCGTATACATGTTAGATACACAATGTCTAATTGAGTGAATATTTATATATAAGATTATATTGCAATGTTGTATGTATATTATTGATTATAGATTACCTCATCAACCATTGCGGGCACTGTCCCTTTTTACATTACGAATTTCTTACGAAAATACTTTAAAGGTTTTAATATAGGCCCACAAATATATGTGAACGTATTTCTGCAAAATGTACATCTCCGTTGGTTTGAGTGGTGTGCTTTTTAGTCAGTCAATTGCGTATGGTGTATTTGTCAGCTAAGTATAATATTTGATTGGTGCCACCCACACTGTGGAGCAAAATGTTAAATAACTGATGTTCAATTGTTGTTTGTATAGTCCATGTATCAATCGTTCACTGATTTGTACACGATTTTCCGTTTTATCCAATTCCTTCCTGTTTCCTGTCATGTTTCTGAGACTTTGTTTATTAACATTTTTAATATTCAATATTCAATATTGTACACATTAAGACGACTCTTACCAAGTTGACATCTATCGTCAGTTTGCGTGTATATTCGTTGAAAATACCTGCATTGTTACAAACGACATCCAATTGACCATACTGGTCCATACAGTCTTTGAAAGCAGCTGTTGGCAAATGTATATATATTAAATTGACTCGATAGATACTTTTCATACACGTCCAGTAAAGTGTAATCTAGCTTAGTGGTGTGCATTAAAAGTATTCGTCTCTAACTTCATCATGTATGTTCGCCAGTCGTGTGTTTGTTGGTCAATGAATTGTGATTACGATTTGACATGTTTTCATTACTGTATATTATCTAATATGTGAAAATTAACGGCCTGGTCCCTCTGTGTGTTAATTTCATTGTCTTACCTTCAAGTAAATCTGTGTATCTGACGTCACATTTTCGGAATTGAATTCGTCCAGCGCCGTGCTTATTTTTAAGAGTATTTAACGTTTCTTGTCCCTTCTTCTCGTTGATGTCGATAATATAAACTCCCTGAAAAATAAACGGAAAGTCTATTTACTACCATGGTGTTGTTCTCAACGCGTAGCCTCAAAGTTCTATTCCGTGGGAATTGGGGTTTTATACAATTGTTATTATAATAAAAGTATGTAGACCTGTTTATGCAAATGTGAATGTCTTTCATTAAATCGCCCGATACAGCCATTCACATGGTGTCGAATTCCCGGTCTATATGACTTTTCAGGACTATGAGGCCGAATGATCAGTGGAAGGAGGCCAACATGCAGGACTGTACTCAGGGCTAGTCATCCACCTGACCGGGGTTAATAAATTACAGTACAGATGACGTAGTTTCAGGTCACCATCGAGTAGCAACAATTGCGTCCACTCACAGAGTAAATTAACCAGCATTGTACATTTCACTTTTTGTCTAAAATGATAGCAGGTCAAAGTAGCAAAAGCAATGGTCAAATTTCTAATTATTTCTATACGTATATGTGAGTGCCACAACTCAGGAGTTGAAGAAAAGAAGCGTTTAATAATATAAGTTGAACTCACCTTTGCTTGACGGTTTAAGAAGTCGTCGGCCAAGGCCTCTCCAATACCATCAGCACCTCCAGTTATTATGGCAACCTTACCGTTAATTTCTGACATGATCTAAAAGCTCAAGCGACTGACCCTGTGATAAACCTCCAATGTAGATGAGAACGCGTGACATGCATCGCTTGACACGAGTAACGGGTCATGTATGTCTCAAACAACTATAGTCCAAGAGTCCAAATGTTGCCAATGGATTTCCATGAGAACACGCCTCTGAAAGTCCATGTTTTGTAAATTTCGAATTTTGTTATATTAGGGATATTTAAATTTGAATACTGGGGTTATTAAGTCTTGTGATCTCCTTTCTGGGTGTATTATTCTAGTCAATTGTCACTAATGGAATTAATGATATCTTCCTTAAAATGATTGAGACAAATATTATTTAGTCATGTGACCTCCTTTTATTTACTCCCAAATTATTGTGAATATTATGAGGGTGAACAAAATGAGCAAGGATATATTCCATAGAAATATAAAGAGTTTTAATTTGTATAAACATGGCTGCCAAAGCGCTACACGGCATGCTATCTAGGCCATTTTCTACTAGTATATGAAATGATAGCATTCACATAAATGATAAAATATACTACGGTATTTTGGAACTAAATTTATATTATGATTTGATAATTCACTCACGTGCATAATTTCATTATGGCTAAACAATTTAACACAATCGTCATATTTCATCCATATTGTCTATCATTGTAATTTGGGTAAATATTTATTGATCCATATGACCACTATTGTTGAATCAATTTGTTTTGTAAGTTGTTCAACACAGTTTCCCGGGCGTGGTTGTTTTTAAGTGATCGCGTAAGTTTTCATGTGAGAACAAATTACTGCAAATTACAATTCTTTCTGTAAGCCATACCCACTTTTTTAGAATGTAGTTCCAGATACAATATTTTTTATATCAAATTGAAAAATGATTTTTTTCTAATTAAACTTCAAAATTAAGACTACTTTTGTCGCATCGAAAAGGCTTTACCTACATTGTTCACATATGAGGGGGATATACATTTTTAAAATAAATAAGCGAAAACCTAGAAGGCTGTCAATACACTATTGAACATAATGTCCAGGTCAATCCAGAATAATATATTTAATAATAGTATGGCCTAAGCACTATAATTTTTGTATCAGCTTTTCTTATTAGATAACTGACTTATTTGCATATTTTTCACAACAATTTAATCTAACATCTGTTAGATTTATAGACATATGCATTCTCAGTTAGAATCGCAGTGGATGTTGTGATTAGTTACAGGAATTTACTGGTAAATAAATACGAGTAAATACACATACACAAAAGGTACATGCATCTAGCATAATTACAATCAACATAGTAACAAGAATTATGCGTAATTTGGTTTTCGTTAGACCCATGGTTTACATAAATGCATGTACATTCCCATTTCAAAGGAGGCATATTATATGGCACTTGTTATTTCGTAATGTTCCAAATAGTCCAGCTTCAATTCCGTCACTGCCCCCTGGTAGCTCTCATTTTCAGGTGTCATTTCATCTGCAGAGGCCATGCTTTCCAATCTGCTTCCTGCTAAACTTGTCAACAGACTCACTCTGGTTCTTGACCCACCACTATTCTTCACACCTTGCATAAACATTGTCTAAATGATTTGAATTTGTTTACTCGATTGTCTTATCATGATCGCAGTGTTCTCTCAGTATGGCATAGATGGGACGACACGATCACTTAACTACCCGAAATGTAGCTAACAACTATATATCACTCACGATGTTAACATAATCAAGTTCGTCTCAAGTAACAGTAAATGTACTCGTTTTTAGTTTGGAGGCGTCTCTGTCCGGTGCGTTAAATCTAGTGTATAACGGAGATTAAATGACCAGAGATGTACACAAATTACATATCCAATTGCCTTGAATAGCTTATAATTTGACCAGCTCATGACTACTCAACAGCTATCTCTTAATTTCGGAGCCATTTTCTTTTATCACAACACTAACTTGCCTGTAGAATGATTACACGTCTAGCCAGGTTGGGATGATATCTGTACTATAGAAAATGAGGATATCTAAACAATAGATTATAATGATAGATAGATTATGAGGATATTCTTACTACAGCCTGGTTACGGATATATATTTACTAGGTTATTATGATATCTGTGCCTACATCCTTTATTTTATGTGTTTGCCATATTACCTCAAACTCTGCAAATGGAAGTGTGCATGGAATCATGGGAAGAAACGATGTGCATTGCCGTGTGATAACTGCCATAAAAGGGATTGACAAGTCATACTTGTTTTCAACCCTGGAAGGACAGTTGGAATCTACCAGGTGTGCTTGTGATTTACATAACAAAGGGTGTTTACAACTTTGGAAGGAGAACTGAAATCTACCAGGTGTGCTGTTATTTGAATAACAAAGGATGTTTATGTTCTATGTTGCCTACGTGACAGCTTCTAGCAAGATCACATTCTGATTGGCTCATGTGGAAACCCAGGTGATATCACTGAATCATGCCTATAAATTGGAAAGACTGAGGACAGTTTGGGTCATTTCAATTTGGTATCCAGTGTGTGCTGCTACGATATTGTGTGACAAGTGATACAGGCTACAACCATCATTCTGTGAGGCTTGTATGAACTGCTCTGCGATCTCCTGCTTTCAGCGGTGCCCTCCAGAATACCAGCTTTCCTCTGCAAGCAGAACTCCTGTATTTCTT